TTGTTGGAGACGGGAGAGGGATCCGTTCGGGAATCGCCGAACCGCCCTATTGTGGAAGTTCCATGGGTTTGGGATCGGCGTCTGTACAATGAACAAGAGAGGGAGCGAGATCCTTAGGTTTATGGGAGCAAGATCCCATATCAATGGGTTCGAGGTTTTGACTGGCAAGAATCTATGCTCCACTACATGTTCAACGAGGTTGTCAAGTAGAGCTAGTACGAGTTCCCTTAGTTGCAGTCCACACTTCAAAGTCCAATATGTATGACATCCTCTAGTTAAATAAATCCGTAGTGCCCTATTTTTATACATCACATGCTTACGTGGTACTTGATAAATATTAAACATTTTTAGGCACTTTATTATATAGCCTGTGATCCATAGGCCAAAATCTAATATGTATGACATCCTATGTTTAAATAAGTGCTTTGAATCATATTTTTTCTATGTAGTCTATAATCCACCCTCCAAAGTCCAATATGTATGGTATCTTCTAGTTAACCCCATTTCTATACATCACATGCTTACATGCTACTTGATAAATGCTAAATACTACTTAATACTTTACTGTAAATGTCCATAGTCCATGCTCCAACATCCAATATGTACACATGAGTGTATGACACCCTATTTCTAAGTAAGCATACATGCTACTTGATGCATACATGCTACTTGATGAAATATTAAATACTTTTAGGCACATTACTATACAGTCTGTGGTCCATAGTCCAAAATGTAATATGTATGACATCTTATGTTTAAATAAGTGCATCGAACCATATTTTTATGCAACACTTGCCAATATGCTTGATGAATCTAAGGAGTATGGATTATTTTGCTACTTAGTTTGTGGTCCTTAGTCCAAAATCTAATATGTATGACATAGCCTATTTAATTAGATGCATATTACCAGAATTTGATACATCAAGTGCCCATATACTACTTGATAAATGCTAAAAGTATAGATCACTCTATTAGATAGTCCATAGTATACTTATGTACTGCATTCTTCTTATATATACTCCAAATCCCATTAGAGGTATAACTTTAATAACATAGTCCCTCGTGCCACAAAGATATTCCTTACACATAAATACAAAAAATAATCTACAAGTACAGAAATTGGATTTTTTTTATTATTTTAATCAACTACATACTTAGATCACCAACACGTACCCCCCCCCACCCCAACCTTCCCTCTTCCCCACCCAATTCCACCTCCCTTTATATTAACCCTTGGACCCAAAACCAGCCCACACAGCCCTTTCGCCATTAGCTTGTGGTGCTCATTTTGGTGAATCTGATTGCTCCTCCCAACTCTCCCACACTACAAGCTCCATTCTCCCATGCTACAGGTATGTGCACTTGTGCTCTTTCCATGTGTATTTATGTGACTCTTGTGTGTGTAAGAGAGAGTTGAGAGTGTGTGTGTGCATGAGAGAGAGAGAGGTGAGTGTGTGCTTGGTGCTCTTTCCCTGTGTATTTCTATGACTCGTGTGTGCATAAGAGAGAGAGAGTTGAGTGTGTGTATGTGCAGTAGCGAGAGAGTTGAGTGTGAGCTTGTGCTTTCCCAGTGTATTTCTATGACTCTTGTGTGTGCATAAGCAGAGAGAGTTGAGTGTGCGCTTGTGCTTGTTCCATATGCATTTCTGTGACTCGTGTGTGTGCATGAGAGAGAGAGTTGAGTGTGTGTGTGTGTGCATAACTGAGAGAGTTGAGTGTGCGTTTGTGCTCTTTCCCTATGTATTTATGTGACCCATGTGTAGGCATAACAGAGAGAGAGTTTAGTGTGTGTGTGCAGTAGAGAGAGAGAGGTGTGTGTGAGTGTGTGCAATAGAGAGAGAGAGAGCCCACAAACATGGAACCCAAAATTTTAATGTACCAAAATCTTGGTCTATGGTTGATGGAAGCGGGGATCTATTTTCAAATGGAAATGGATTCGTCTGTTTTTTAAAGTACATTCCACATATATGGAACCCAATATCATAATGTACCGAACCTTGGACCATGGTTGATGGGAACGGGGATCTATTTCGAAATAGTATTGGAATCCACTAATGGTTGTAACGTGATCCCCTTTATTTGGGAGCGAGATCCCAAAATTGAAAAACTTGAGTCCCTACGAGATCCCTAGGAGGAACCGTGGGATCGAGGATCCAAAGCGGGAACGCCACCCTACCCCCACAGTTCCCCTAACTATGCATTGGTGCATGCGCAAGTGAACTCAGATTGATAAATAAAAGAGAACAATTTTTTATTTTACTCCCTTAATTCCACATAGCCATTTCTTTCATGGGTAAACCTAGGAGGGCATAGAGCATGTTTCCACCATAGACTTACCTTCTGGAAAGGGTGTTTCCTCTCGCTTATAGGGGGCGCATCATACTCAACAAAGCAACTATGGCTAAATCCCTATTTTCCAAATGTCCTTTTTCCATATGCATTTTTCAGACTCAAATAGGTTAGAAAAATTATTGCGTAACTTCCTATGGGGAAAAGCAGAAAGTCAAAAGTTCCATTTTGTAGCTAGGGATGTAGTGTCTAAACCTAGATCTATGGGAGGTCTAGGAATCAGGAGGATCAAACAAGCTAAATTGGCTCTCCCAAGGAAATGGTTGTGGAGGTTCGCTAACAAAGATAACCTTTTTTGGAAAAAGGTCATCAAATGGAAGTAAAGTCATCAGGAATCAGGGTGATTCCCAAGATGTCCCTCACAAGCCTCGAGAACTTGGAAAGGTATCGCCCATTGCTGGGATAGGTTTAAGCACCATATTAGGCATAGTCCTAGAAGGGGTAAAAAAGGTATGGTTGTGGTTAGCTAGGCTACCAATGTTTTCGCCACTCGGTGGCTCTCCCTATTTAAAATTGCCCAAGATCCAGTTATCTTAATTTCCATGGTGGTTCCAGAAGTGGGATGCCGCACTCTTGGACTCCTACTTTAGGAGAAATCATAGAGATCGAGACTATGGATCTAGTAAGTTTGCTCCATGAATTCATAATGTTTTCCTTGTTACTTCCAAGCACAATAAGGTCATATGGGACCTTTCAACCTTAAGGATATTTCTGAGTCTCATTGTTTTCATATTCTCGAATGTGTGACTCGTGGATTGTTACAACATTTACACTCTCTCGAACCAAAACTCAGAAAGCTTTGTTGACATCCGATGCTAGTCTCTGCATTTTCTTATCCCAGCAGTAAGAGATATCTTACGACCCAGGGGCAGGCAAAGGCAGCAACCAACCACAGGGCAACATCCATTGCAACAAGCAAAGACATCAAGTAGATGCAGCAGCAGCCCTGAGTCCACATGCCATGGCTCCACTCTTTATGGCCCTCCCAACCCTCTCTTCTGGCTCTCGATTCTGCAACACTCCCAGCCCCCCAGCCCCCCTCTCTTTTTTTTATTCACAGGAGCCTTAGACAAGGCACGTTCCTTTTACTTTTTGTCCACTACTGTACAGATGCTTTCTGAGGGCTTCTTTTGTGACTCCAAACCCTCCAAGGCGGTTTTTTTGGTTATGTTTGCTCAGGGACTTCCCCATCCTTCTTATATTCGACCTCTCACCCCTATCTCTCTAATAAATCCAAACCCCCCCCCTCCCCCCCGCTCTTCGTCTTTATTCCCTTTTTTTGTACAGGGGTCACACACCGTGTGACGCAACGCTCGCTCCTTTCCACATATTCAGCTCTCACTAGTGAGTGGTCTCTGAACGTCACTCTTGTACAAACTTCCTGACCTGTGGATAGCCAGTTTTAAATACTTTTGGAACTCCTTGTATTTATATACAGTCAAATATTCTCTCAAAAACGATTCGACTCCCAAATCATTATTTTCCTATCAGAAGTGCTCCAAAGATTCACACTGAGCCATAAACATTCAGCTTCCATGGAAATGGAAATCCACCTTGAAACACTGGAGTTCTCCCTTGTATGGATATTAAATTCAAGAACAACTTCCTGAAAATTTCATCAACTAAAAATCCTAATTATTTATAAATTGGTGCTTATGGCTTATGAGAGGATTCCAAACAAACACATACACACACATGCACACCAAAAAAAATACTAGATCAAAGAAACTTTTCCTTATGATAGCTGGAATATCTCAAATTTCTGGTTACATCGAAAGGTAACCCATTCAAGAATGTTCAGAATTATCATTACTGATGGACATGTCCCTCGATTGCCCCGAGCAACTAGCTGCCACTGAATGTCCAACAGTAAGGAGACTACTTTGGATTGAATATGCAGATAACCAAGGTTTGTTATATGCAACTCTAGTCAGGAGCTTTGCAAGACAGTTAACTATATGTGATCCAAACATATTATTGTAACTAAAATCAGTCATAAGATCACATCAACTACACGAGCGTCTTCTCATTGTTTATTTGAAATATTTGCATCTCAGAGCTTTAGTTTAACTTAGTAATGACTCTACAGAAAGAGATATCAGTATTGAACACACACAACCCTAACCAGAAATTTTATGTTTCTTCAATTACCTAAAAGAATAAGACTATGTATGCCTAATTTTATTGATGGTTTTAAATGTCATAAAGCAAAAGAAACAGGAAAAAGATATTAAAGGGCAATGATGGTGTGTTCCTGCCTACTAGAAAAACCACATCACGGGTGTGAAAGAGACTGGAAATATTTTGCAGTGAATTCTCTCACACCCCAAAAACATTTTCAATTAAAAACAAAACGATTTGGCGCCCCACAAATGCCTCAAATTTACTGCAATTGTATTGTCAGATCTGGACCACCCATTCTAGTGGGCAATAGATTAAAGTAGGTTTGAAGGTATTTTGGGTCTCCAAACTAGATCAAACTTAAGATCAACTGAAGGGGTTTTCAAATTTTTCTGGATGTCCCCACGCAGGAAATGTTGTTTTTTCAATGGGCGGAGCACCAATTTTGGTAACCGGGCTGCAACACACTACCATTTCCCCATATTAAATTTTTAAACTTGAGAAATGCACCAAGGAATTTAAGCTATTACCAAATATATTGTCCGTCCTTGAAACTCGAATTGCGTCCTAACAGAATCTCTTGTCAATCCAGCTTCTGGGCCAACCAAAACCCGTTCTTGTTGCAATAATGCATTCAATAATGTGGATTTTCCAACATTAGGGCGTCCGACTATAGCTAGTTGCAGTGGCAACTTTGCCTCAACATCTTTTGTGGCATTCTCATCCTGATGGCATTTCTCTGCAAGCATTAATGACAAATAAGGACTTACAATAGTAAAATTTTCATCAACTTAATAATCCAGAAAATAAAGGAGGACGCTAATAAGGGAATTTTGTTTCCATAATGACATTAATAAAGAGCATTAGTAAGGTAGTTCTCATTTCCAAAGGACTATTAATGACACTAAAAGATTACAACCGCAACAGCACAAAAACATTAGAAGAGATCCAAAGGCTACAATAATGAATAACTCAACTTCCTGAAGGAATCAAAAGGAGAAAAACCCATGAATTGGAATGCCCAAAATTTTCTACTATTACCATAATTAGGCATAAGGGTCCAGCCATCTACCAAATAGTTAATGGAATTACATTTTCTTTTTAATTATTTTATGTACTGAAAGTATTGGATGTCTCCCAAAAGAAATGCAATGTCAATATAGAAAACTAAGCTTTTGTAATATACTCTATTACCATGGCAATCTTTGCAAACCATAATATATACTGATTTAATTGATAAAAATGTGTTTCTAAAATATTTGAAAAATAAAAGGGCCCAATTTATTTTCTTTTTCTTTTCTTTCTTTACCCCACTCAAAAAAATAACAAGGGAAAAGGAAGGGAGCATTAGACCACAGGAGTGGGGAGCCATGTGGCCATTAAGAGGCAATACTTGACCACTCACTCTACAAGTGTCTTCCTTCTCTTTCCTATATGTGCCTATATATTGGAGGGATTCTCAAGGGGTTAACGCACCTTGCACGAGCTCCTTCTCTCTCTAAAACTAGGGGCTGCAATGGACCCGAACCCGGACCCGACCCGAGACTCGACGACTGGACTCGGCCCTAGTCTGAGTATGGGTCTAAAAATTGGACCAAGCAAGCCTTATTCGCATCCAGGTCCAGGTCCAGGTCCATGTGGACCCCACCTGAATAGTGATATTACTTAAATAATATTTAATATATAACATTTTAATAATATTTAAATAAATATAACTAAAATATATAGTTATAATATTTAAATAATAACTGCATATATTATTTAATATATTTAAATAAATATAACTAAAATATATTGTTATAATATTTAAACAATAAATATATATATTATTTAATATATTTAAATATATTTTAATTTTTGGGCCAAGTCCGGGTCCCCTAAATTTTTTCCGAGTCCAAATCTAGTTTGGGTCCTATAAATTTGTTAAACCCAGACCTCTTTATCTAAGTTATGGACGAATTAACTATGCCCTTACAACATGAGGAACCATGGTGCATGTTGTTTGCAGACAACATAGTTTTCGACCTGAAACGGCGCCAACACAAAGTCAGAACTTTAGGGGGATTCTCTAGAATTAAAAGGGTTTAAAATTAGTCGAACTAAGGCAAAGTATATAGAATGCAAGTTTAGTATTAATAGGAGTAGAAACGAGGAAGTAGTTCAGATTGATGGCCAAGAAATACCAAAATAGCACAGTTTTGATATCTTAGGTCAATAATCCAAGAAAATAGAGAGATTGAATAAGATGTCGCATATAGAAGTAGAGCTGGGTGGGCGATTTAGAGATATGCAACCGCAGTTTTATGTGATAACCGCATACCAATGAAGCATAAGAGGAAGTTTTATAAGACAGTAGTGCGACCGGCTTTGCTTTATGGGGGGGGCAGAATGCTTGGCGGTTAAAATTCATTTGTCATATCATAATTGTGGTGGTCTAGATGATAGAGCTGCAAAATTTGGAATCTAAAATTCATCTTATGCGATGGGGTGTACTCATTGCAACAGGCTCTGGGCGCACCAAAACCCTGAAGTAAGGCATCTTAGAGGCTTAGGGCTCCATGACTTGGACATTTATATGTGATGTATGCAGGTTAAGAGGTAAATTTTATCCATTGTGTTTCTGACTACACAAAATATATCTTTCCTTTCTGTCATATTTAATTCCATGTCATCTACATGCACACAAATGGGAGAAAAAGAAGGTTTAAAACCTTGTTAAATAAAAAACTACAGTTTAAGAAGAAAATTTAGTGGTAATCAATTTGAGAGAGAAAAGAAGGTTTTCCAGGATGCAAAAATATAAACTTTAAAATGGACAAATAAAGCATCAGACAATTCAAGGGGCCACAAAAAACTGCAATGAGTATGAAACCTACAGATTACAAAAATAACCAAGGAATAAAAAAAGAGCATAGCACATAACAAACAGAGAAGGAGAGTAACAAAGGTGCACCTTTTATCACTTCACTTTTTCTCTTCAACGATATAGCCCCATTAGGCTTTCAGAGAGTGAGAGAGGAAGAGTGAGTATGATGAAAATTGTAATGAGTAGACACTGAGAGATTTTGGAAAAGAAATGGTGTAAAAAGAGATGTTGGTGAGGATAGTATGAGAGAATGAGCGAAAGTGGAGAGAATAAGGAAAGAGAAAATGAAGAAGAGAAAAAAATGTTGATATTCTACTTGTAGTGTTTGGTAGCGGTAGTCTTGGGGCATTCGAATATTGAAAATTGTTCTTTAAACACGCACCTTTTCATCTAGGGGTGCCTTTTTTGTAGTTTGGATTTTACCCCGAGGCTTTTGCATAAGGTAACTCATAGTAATGGGATGCATCTTTTAAAAAAGGCGTCTCCATGCCTATTTAGAGAGATTTTTTAGGAAACTATTCTACCTCTCATGTATTTTTCTCTCTCCCCCTCTCTCTCACATGATGTACTTTTCTCTCGTCCCCTCGCTCACATCTTTTTTACAAAATGGTAGTGATTGCTTTTTTTAGAAAAAAAAAAAAATTGGATTTTGATGAAGAGATTCAATGGTTTGTGGTAGTAGATAATATAGTAGTAGATAAAAAAGGACCATATGCCTAGAGATAATATAGGGCAAGTGACTTTAAATAGGGGTTAAGTGACTTTAAATAGGATAACTACTATCAGAGACATTTTTTTTAAAAAGTGCATCCTGTTACTATGAGCTTTAAAATCCAAACTGCCAAAAGACACCACTAGATGAGAACCAATTGAATAAAAAAGTTGAAAAATATGATATAGAGAGGGAAATACGTGAGAGAGATAGTGAAAGGAATATGAGATCTAAGAAAGATAAATGTGAGAAATTTTAGGGTAGAAAAAGTAGGAAAGTAAATGAGTAAGAGAGATGACATAGAGAGATACCGTGAGAGGGAGGGGGAGAGAGAAAAATACGTGAGGAATAGAACGGTTTCCTAAAAAACTCTCTCTAGATAGACATAGAAAAGCCTTTTGAAAAAGTACGCACTGTTACTATGAGTTTTTAAAATCCAAATTGCCAAACAGACGCCCTCTAGATGAAAAGGTACGAGTCTAAAGAATGGATTTCAAAATTTGAATGCCCCATAACTACCGCTACCAAACATTACAAGTAGAATAGCAACATTGTTTTCGCTCCTTCATTTTCTCTTTCCTCATTCTCTCTACTCTTGCTCATTATTATCTTCACCAACATCTATTTTTACACCATTTATTTACCAACATCTCTCTCTTTCTCTAATAATTACAATTTCCATCATACTCACTCTTCTTCTCACACTATTTGAAAGCCTAATGGGACCATATTGTTGAAGAGAAAAAGTGAAGTAATAAAATGTACATCCTTATCCCTCTCCTCCTCTGAATGAATGTTTTATGCTCTTTTTTTATTCATTGGTTTTAGATGGAAATTCTTGGGGCTCTTTTGAGAGAGAGAGTTGGGACCACCAATTTCCACTTGAAAACTGTAGCTTGAAAGCCACCTTCTCGATTTGAAAACGACCAAAATGCTCATGGTTAATTTGAAGATGCAATTCCCTAAGAACCCATATTTTCCTCATGGCTAGAAACTTGATCCACAAAATGGGACCACCTCTAATTTCAATACCCTCTTTGAAGATTTTGTAGGAATTTCTGATGAAAAATCTAAGCCACAAAATGAGAAGCCTTGCAACTAGAACTCCTTTGAAGATTCCAATTAAAAAAATTTCACCGATATCAATAACAACCCATTTGACGAATGTACCCAAATATCAGTACAAAAATAAAATAAAATAAAATTCCAACAAAACATTTGACCCACAAAGAGAAACCACTGCAACTTCAATGGCTCATCTTAAGATTCTTGCCAAAAACAAAGTTTATCAAACAAACGGACCTGCAACTTTAAAACCAATTTTGAAGGTTCTAACAAGTTTTTTCAAATTGCAAATGATTATAGAGAGATATTGAGCAAGGGTGAGAGAGGATGAGCACGCATGCTTTCAAAGTTATAGATCGAGAGAACTATGGGATGGGCGTGCTAAAAGAAAGAGAGAGTTTTGTAGCAAGACAAGGTGAGAGAGAGGGTGGTGAAGTAGAGGTATGAGAGAGAGATATCTCATTGCTTATTTCAAGAGAGAGACTATGGTCTAACATGAGTGGAAGAGGTGTTAGAGGGTAGACGAGGATAAAAGAGAGAAGGGAAAAAGATGAGTTGGGGACAAGAGATGAGAGACAAATAGTACGACAACAAATAAAAGAGTCCAATTTGGATCCTTTCTTATAGTGGAGAATTAGAACAAGGATGAGAGAGGCAATAGCAACATCCCCTCTGATCTTGGATTCTAAGAATGCATTTTTTGTTGGAGAGAACAGAGCAATGGCATTATATATAATACGATAAGGCAAAGAAGAAGAATAGGGAGAGGGGAGGGGAGGGAAAACAAGGGTGGGTGCTGACGAATAATATAACAAAAAGCGGGTGGGCATGAAAGGCAAAGCATAAGAGCCCAAATATGGCAAGCATATTAATTTTTAATTAAATGCAACCCACCACTGGAGCAGTAAGAGCTTGCCTGGCCATGCCAGCTGCATGATAAGGTTAATTACAACAAACAAATTGTGCTTCACTAATTCTTTCTATAACGGCTTTTGTTTTTGTCAATCCTCTATTTGCTCACATTTGCTAATTGAAATCTTTGTTATTCTTAAATTCTCATTGTATATCTATGCAATCTCCCATTGCAAGAAGATGT